TGAAACAATATTCCCATTAATCGACCTAATTCACGAATACTATTCAAGTTTATTGATTGAACATTTACAGATGATGATAATGATGATGAAAATGACATAGCTAAAATAGCTGGTGTAATAAGTACAATTTCAATTGCTTTGCCTGTTTTAAACCATGCAATATGATCAAGTTCATCAAGTAGTTCATTTTTTCTTTCCATACCCATATGTGCTGCACGTAGATCCATCATTTGTCCAATACATAAATCATGCATTGATAAAGATATCTCAGTTACAACTTGATTTACACATTCAGGTGAAAATCCATTTTTTACAAGATCATGATTAATTACACTCATACTAATAGCAATTAAATCAACAGCTGCTAATTGTGCTCGACCTTCACATAAGTGTTCTGGTATATCATCATCTATCACTGCTTTATGTAATGTTGGTCGACCTCGTCTTAGATCACTATTATCTTGAGCTGGTAAATCATCAAGTATAAGTGATGATGTATGTAAATACTCCATTCCACAAGCTAATGGTAAAACATTTTTCAATTCTAGATTGTATAAATCAGAAACCATCATCATTATTAATGGTCGTAAACGTTTACCACCAGCTGTTACACTATAATTCATAGCTGAGATTAATAATTGTTCATCTCGATCAATAACTGCTAATGACTTTTTATTTTTATTAAATGAATGAATATGTAAAGCATCTTCAACTTGTTTCAGATGATCACCAACATATGTTTCTAGCTTACGATTTGTTCGTGCATATTTGATACTTCCATTGTTAATTATTCGAAAAAAAGATTTTTCTGGATCACTTACATTTGAAAAATAGCTACGAACATGTATCCAAAAATAATCATGTAATGGTAAATTATTACCACAAAATAAATAAAGAAATTCACGTAATGCAGATTGACCTGAACTTACTTCAATTGATCTTAATGTACGTGCTATACGACGACCAATAAAAGCACCAGTTTGAATATCATGACCAGATGA